GAGTAACTCAATAATCCTTTCAACTCGAATCGTGCGAGTAACTCGAATGATTCGATTCAATTCGAATCGTGCGAGTAACTCGAATGATTGGATTCAATTTGAATCGTGCGAGTAACGCATCAATTCAATATCATGATTCTATTCAATTCGGTGGTTCGCATAATTCATTCCTCTTTTCGTTTTCATATGTATGATTATTAAAATTATTTTTTTATGTTTATTACAATTTATGTTCATACATATTGTATCACAGTAAATTGTTTTGGGCTTGATGTGAGTTTATTAGAATCAAGTATAACGTGATTCGAATCAGGTGTTAAGGGCTTGATTTGAATGATTCACTTGATTCGCGAGTTGGCACATATTGGATAATAAACATAATTTTGATCTATATTTTCAAGTGGAAATAGATATCACTGCTATTGTTATCAGGTTGCACATTTTGAACGCAAAACCTTTCGGTTGCAAGGACCGAAAATTCAAACTTTTAAATATAAAATAAATTTTAATTAAATATTAAAAAAAAAACCTTTACAAAGCATTTTAAATTTCAGGCCGTAGGATCCAAGCGTAAACGTTTTTTTAACAAATTCCGATGGTGTTCAGTTTCGTTACAAGCCAATTTATTAGGCCAATTAGCCAATTTATTAAGCCAATTAAGTGTTGTGTTATTATATATCTTGTAACCTAGCATTATTAGAAGACAATGCTTACTTGAAATGATTTTAGAATTATGTTTTTTAGTCTGAGTCGGATACAGAACCTGGTTTGCAAGACCCTTACCATGGACTAGTTCAATAGATAGGAAACTAGTGGTGCATGGCATTGTGCTTTAAGGCAAATTGCTGGAACGTACCAAAAATTAATTTTTTTTTTTTTAAAAAATCAACTTCCTTTTAGAGCTTTTTTATATTTTTGGAAAATCTGAACTTTTTTTTTTCAAAGCAATCGCGATACGTTAGCTGCGTAGAAACGAAATATAGAAGCGCGTGGGCGTCTCAAACAGATAAACATTGGTACGGAACACGTAGAAAAGTAAACAAAATTTGTTATAATTAAAAGATCTATAAACATGTGATAATTTGATGTGGATATGTCTAATGATCAGTTCTTGAATCATACAAACCAGACGCTCCGTTCTCTCAAAAAATCAATTACCATTTTTGGCAGTTTTCGCCCCCATTACTTCGAAACGGCTTGACCTGCCTTTGCCAAAAACTAATCAGCACGTCTCCTTATCAATTCGAATGTAATGTTTTTTTATTATTCAAATCGGTTGATCCGTGTTCCTGAAATTTGTATCCGTACACACACACACATATACATCAATTTTTTAAGGTATGCTAAAATGTTCAGAAGACCTTAAAACGTAAAGATATGCAAAAAATATATTTTCGATTTTTTTGCGATTACATAACTTACCTACGGGTAGGGTAGGCGGAGAGCTAGTTGAGAATAGGGGCAAGTTGAGCAATCGAAATATCTCGAAAACTATTCACCGTCCGTTTAGGCTTTTATGGCGGAAAGATAGAGATTTGCGAAGAAATAAACATCCGCGATCGCTAGTTTTGATTATTTTGAGACCAAAAAGTAAAAAAGTAATCATCACGAGTTTTCGTCTGGTTTAGTCAAATGTTATTTATTTTAATCAGGTAAATGTTATTCTTCCATATAATTATAGTACTTTGATATGCACAGAAATTCTGGGTATAATTCTCACGGTTTTTTTATAAAACTCA